TGTGGTACCAGTTGTAACAATTCTTTTTCATTTCTGACTTTGTCCTCTCTCTTTTTCATGGTGAATCTAGCTAAAGGTTTGTCTATTTTGTTTATCTTTTGAAAAAAACATCTCTTGGTTTCATTGATCTTTTCTATAGTCTTCTTAGTCTCTATTTCATTTATTTCTGCTCTGATCTTTATTTCCTTCCTTATGCTAACTTTGGGTTTAGCTTTTTCTTCTTTGAGGTGTAAGGTTAGATTGGTTGTTTGAGATCTTTCTTGTTTCTTAATATAGGCATTTAGCACCATGAGCTTCCCTCTTAGAACTGCTTTTGCTTCATCTCATAAGTTTTGGTATGTTGTGTTTCCATTTTCATTTGTCTCAAGGTATGTTTTATTTCTGATTTCCTGTTTGACCCATTGGTTGTTCAATGGCATGTTGTTGAATCTCCATGTTTATGAATTTTCCAGTTTTCTTCTTATAATTGCCTTCTAGTTTCATAACATTGTGGTTGGAAAAAACGCTTGGTATGATTTCAGTCTTCTTAAATTTATTAAGACTTGTTTTGTGGCCTAATCTATGCTCTATCCTGGAGAATGTTCCATGTGCACTTAAGAAGAATGAGTATTCTGCTACTTTTGGATGGAATGTTCTGTAAATGTCTTTTAAGTCCATCTGGTCTAACCTGTCATTTAAGTCCAGTGTTTCCTTATTTTTCTGTCTGGATACTCTATCCATTGATGAAAGTAGGGTATTAAACTCCCCTACTATTATTGTATTGCTATTCTCCTTTTAGGTCAGTTAATATTTGCTTTATATATTTAGGTGCTCCTATGTTGGGTGCATAAATATTTACAAATGTTATGTCCTCTTGTAGATTGACCTTTTTATCATTTTATAATGACCTTTGTCTCTCATTATAGTCTTTGTTGATTTTTTTGTAGGGGTATGCTGAGATTCCTTTATCTTTTGTGTTATCTACTATAGGTTTTTGTTTTGTGGATACCATGAGGCTTACATAAAATGTTTATAATAGTTTTTTTTTGTTTTTGCTGAGGAAGATTTGCCCTGAGCTAACATCTGTTGCCAAGCTTCTTTTTCTTTTTTATGTGAGCCACCGCCACAGCATGGCCACCAACAGATGAGTGGCGTAGGTCAGCACCTGGGATCTGAACCCAGGCTGCCAAAGTGGAACGCACTGAACATAACGACTAGGCCACCAAGGCTGGCCCATAACAGTCTATTTTAAGTTGAGAAGAACTTAAGTTCCCACATTCTAAAGCTCTACGTTTTTACTCTCCCCTTCCCAGGTTTTATGTTCTTGATGTCAGTTTATATCTTTTTATCTTGTGTATTCATTAATAATTATAGTTTTTACTTTTGTCTTTTAACTTTCGTACTAGGTTTATAAGTGATTAACCCACCTCCATTATGACATTAGATTATTCTGAATTTAATTATATATTTGCCTTTACCATTGAGATTTACACTCTCATATGTTTTCCTATTAAGCAGCACCCTTTCGTTTCAGCTTAAAGAAGTCCCTTTAACATTTCTTGTAAAGCCAGTTTAGTGGTGATAAACTCCTTTGACCTTCCTTGTCTGAAAGACTCTATCTCTCCTTCAATTATAAAGGACAGCTTTGCTAGGTAGACTATTGTTGTTTGGCAGTTTTTCTCTTTCAGCACTTTGAATATATGGTGCCACTCTTCTGGCCTGCAAAGTTTCTGCTGAAAAATCTGCTGATAGTCTTGAGGGTTCCTTTGTACATAACAAGTTGTTTTACTTTTGCTGCTTTTAAGATTCTCTCCTTGTCTTTAACTTTCAGCAATTTAATTATAATGCATCTTGGTGTAGGTATCTTTGGGTTCATCTTATTTGGAATTCTTTAGGCATCCTGGATCTGGATGTCTGTTTCTTTCACCAGGTTAGCTAAGTTTTTGGCCATTATTTCTTCCAGTAGGTTTTCTACCCCTTTCTCTCTGCTCCTTTGGGACCCCTATAATTTGAATATTGGTATGCTTGATGTTATCCCATAAGTCCCTTAAGCTATAATGATTCTTTTTCATTTTCTCTTTTTGCTGCTCTGATTGGATGAGTTCCACTGCCCTGTCTTCAAGTTGACTAATCCTTTCTTCTGCTTTATCTAATCCGATATTAAATCCCTCTATTGTGTTTTTCAATTCAGTTATTGTATTTTTCAGCTCTATGATTTCTGTTTGGTACTTGCTTATATTTTCTTTCTCTTTGTTGAAATTCTCACTTTGTTCATACATTGTTCTCCTGACCTAGGTAAGCATCTTTATCACCATTATTTTGAACTCTTTATCAGGTAAATCATTTATCTCCATTTCATTAAGGTCTTTCTCTGAAGTTTTGATCTTATTCTTTCATTTGGAACATATTCCTGTTTCATTTTCTTTGACTCTGTGTTGGTTCCAATGCATTAGATAAAACAGTCACCTCTCCCAGTCTCGGAGTGGTCTCGTGTAGGAAATGAGCCTTATCATTCAACCCTGCCCTCACTCTTGGTTGTCTCTCAAAACTTTGTGATTGTCTGAGCAGCCTTCCTTGTTCTTAGTGGCTCCCAGTACTGAGGGTATGCCAAGATCTGTCAGTGTCCCAAATGGGAGGATCTCAGTCAGCACCTAGATGCAGGCTGAGTGGAAGCTGGACCCTTAGGCCACAGCTATTAAGATAAGAAAATAGGGGGATGGCCCCATGGCCTAGTGGTTAAGTTCAGTGCGCTCCACTTCGGCAGCCCAGGTTCAGTTCCCGTGTGCAGACCTACACCACTAGCCATGCTGTGGCAGCAACCCAAACACAAAATAGAGGAAGACTGGCATAGATGTTAGCTCAGGGCAAATCTTCCTCAGGAAAAAAAAAGATAAGCAAATAGGACTCTTTCATGGGAAGAATGGGCATTTCCGTCTGCTGCCTCTGCATTGAGCCCTGGAGGGATGGCTGGTTAAGAATTGTTTCTCTGTTACAACCCAGGGAGGCCCACAAAAAAAAAGCACCACTGACCACCAGAATCAGGCAATTAAGGGGTGTCCCCTCGGTGGCAGCTGCAAAAACCAAAGCACCAAACTTCTGCACAAGCTCTTTTCTGGGAGATAACAGAGACCTTTGTGAGGCAGAGGGAGAGTATAAAGATGGCACCTGCTAGCCTCCACAGTCACTAGAGAGTATTGCAGTTGGCCCCTAGATGTATGTTAAATTAGAAGTCCACCTCTCAGGCCAAAGCTTCTAATTTTAAGATAAGCAAATTAGGCCTGTTTCTTGGAAAGACTGGGTACATTTCAGTCTGCTGTGTTTGTGCTGGGCCTTGGGGGATTAGCCACGGTGGGTCCACACGATCCCATTTAGAATTAGTTCTTAGTTCACTGTATCCTTGTAGCTCTTGTGGTTACAGGCCCATTGGCTTTCAAAGCTAGATGTTTTGGGGGCCTGTCTCTCAGGTGGAAATCTTAAAAGTCAGGGCACCAGATGTGGGGTACAAACTCTTCGTTCCTCAAGGAAAGGCTGGGAGTTGTGAGTTCCCTCCCAGTTGTGTGTTGCCACCCTGGGGGTGGGGTTTAAGATGAGATTGTATCTGAGCCTCTCCTAACTATTTATTTCCATGTGGGTTTTTTCTCATTCACCTAATGTGTAGGAGTCACTCGGCTAGTTCCTGGATTTTTCAGAGGGAACTGTTCTGTATGTAGCTGTAGATTCCCTGTGTCTGTGAGAGGAGGTAGTTCAGGAGCCTCCTATACTGTCATCTTGAACCAGAAGTATCTCTCTCACAATTTCTGTGGCTCAGTAGTGTAGGCATGGCTTAGCTGGGTCTTCTGTTCAGAGTCTGACAAGGCTGCAGTTGGTTGGAGGTGCAATCTCACCTGAGGCTCAAAGTCTTCATCCAGCCTCTCTGTTGATGGGATTCTATTCTTTGTGGTCAGAGGACTGAAGCCCAAGTCTCCTGAAGGCAGCCCTCACCTCAGTTTCCTGAGACATGGCACTCCCTACTACATGAAACTGTGCTTCAAGTCCAGCATAAAAGAGTCTCCTTCAAGCCTGTGAAGTTCAGGGATTTGCATGGAGTTTATATGTAGATTTTGAGGCAATCCCCTTTCCAGGATAGTCTCCCTCACATTTCAGTAGCTCTGGCAGCCATAAACTCTATTCTGTGACTCCTCAAGCTAGTAAGACTATGACTTCACTGTTTTAAGTTCTAGCCATCCTGTGCTTCAGGGACTTGCCCTCAGGTGAAAAGCCATATAAAGATCTTACCCAGTGGAGTTCTCTTCTTTCACGAGTTGACACCTTTCCAATTTCTACCTGCTTTCGGTTGTTCCCCAATGCCTTTGAATAGTTAGCTATAAACTCAGGATAAAATACAATATCATTTGTGGGGGGATTAATTTGCAACTCTGCCACTTCCAAAAGTAGAACTTTGCTTGTGTTTTTAATAATCCTACATAGACTCTCCCCAAACACTATCCCTGCATTAAAGTAGAGCCTTAGACCATGGTATCATAGCTCCTTGCAGATATACCTCAGTGAGTTGTGATCATGCACCACCTGTTGAAAAAATCACTATAAGTATCTTATTATACAATGAATATTGGTTGAAGCTATTGTTCACTGACTCCTTTTAGACAAGAACTCTTAACAACCACTTAGTTTCAGGAAAATGGAACTCTTAACCACCATTTAGTTTCAGCAAAATTTTTTCTCTACAGATTGCTGAGCACTTACCTTGCGTTTTCTCATTCTTCCCAGTAAGATGGCTATTACCATCCTCACTTGATAATAGAGGTTCAACAGCTTACTCACACAGTTTTAGTCAGTTGCAAGGCCAAAACTGAAACTCAGTACTAGTTACAGACTAGAGATTTCTAACTTGAATGTAGTGATCCTGCTCCACATCCAGAAATGAGCAAAAAAATTCTTTAGTATGTTTGGTTTTATTACTAAATAGCCAGTCATTACTTGAAACCCTTTTAAAGGCATGTGGGGATTTTTGTCCTTTCCAGGTATAACGTTCCTGAGAAGATAGCATTTTTCAACAGGAGGCTGTGTTTCTACCCCTGGTGGATTTAGAGATGGTCCTGCCTGGATACAGAAAAAAAAACCAAAGGTGACCTCTCCAGGTCACCACTTTCAACTTCTGTAGAGTGGCAAAACAGTGACGTGTAACACTGCTGTTTATTATACTTTGTATATTTTCTCTTCAAAGTCTTACATATTATATACTTTGCACTGTTAATAGTAACCTTTGACATAATTGTAAATATTCAGCTTTTTGATAACTTTTATATTTTGAATTATCTCCTTTAAAATAAAATTGTTGACTAGATATTTGTAATGTTTTCCTGGATTTGGAGACAGAAAAAGAGATGAAGGTAGCTTTGAAGCACATTATGAAGTTTGAGCAGCACTAACAAGTGTTAAGTTTGAAATGAGAGGTTTATACAAATTAAGCCTATTTAGCAGAATTAGTCCTAGACTAAAAACATCAAAAATCAGTAAAATCAGGGGCCGACCCGGTGGCACAAGCGGTTAAGTGTGCGCGCTCCACTGCGGCGGCCCGGGGTTCGCCAGTTCAGATCCCGGGCGCACACCAATGCACTGCTTGGCAAGCCATGCTGTGGCGGCATCCCATATAAAGTGGAGGACGATGGACACAGATATTAGCCCAGGGCCAATCTTCCTCAGCAAAAATAGAGGAGGATTGGCAGATGTTAGCACAGGGCTGATCTCCTCACAAAAAAAAAAAAAAAAATCAGTAAAATCAAATATTTGAAAGAATGAACAAAACTATAAGCTTATTATCTCCTGAGTCATTATACTGCATGCTATAGAATTCATGTCACAAAATTAAATCATCTGACTTCCCCTGAAGATGTACATTAATCAGAACTTCCCCAAGGCAGTTGGAGGGTTCCGTCCTCATATCACACCCACTACATGCATCTCACACACACCGTATTTTTCCTACATCAGTATATACCTCCTTGCCATCTAAGGCCAATGTCACCAAAGTTTGAGCAGCTGGCAGAAATGAGTCATGTAGCCTAACTTTGAATGTATCAGATGATATAATTTTAGAGTACAGCCACCAGCATCCTAGACATTACAGAAGTATCCAGGGTAGAACCCAAAGTGCCAATAATTTTATAGCACCCAAGCATCCACAAACATAATTAATAGCTCCAGCTTTATCATCTTTTCTTCCCTCCCAAAGGCTGGCTAGAGAATAGGCCTGAGACCTTGGCCTTACTAAGTGATACAAGCTATTATCTTAAACCCACCCATAGTCCCTTTGTTTTTCCATTATCACTAGAGGGATACTGTACGGTTACAGGAATAAGAGCCATAGGCACTTGGGATCTGTGAGGGTAAGCACATTATGTTTTGGGAGTTAAGGGCCTTAGACATCCATTCATGAGCATAATTATACCAGAACTTACTTAGGAAGATACTCCTCCTAGTACATACAACAATGTGCTCCTTGTTAATAACTTACAGAGGCCAAATAATGGTACTGCAAATAATGGACTGCCAAAACTTAACAAGATGAAGGGATAAAGTAGTTTGTTATAGATTATAAAATTGCCAATGGATCTCAAAAGCAAGTATACAGTTTTATGCTGCAAAGATGATGTGTGGCACCTAGTGGCTCCAATAAGGATTTATTCGTCGCTCCATTAAAAGGATTCAATCCCAACACAGACCATTTAGATTCACATCCAAACTGCTGTGGAACCACCAAGTCCTACCTACCATTAACCTCAGCCATACACCTCATGGTCATGAGGGCTTCAAAGAGGAATCAAACAGACCCATGTTGTCATCCTCATATTTTAAAAAGCATATTTACAATCTCTAATTCTAAAAGAAAAAGCTTTTTATCTTATACACAGATTATGCTAATCATGTGTTTAGAGCATTTAGAATTAAAAACGAAATCATAATGAACAAGTAAAGGACATTATTCGTTGTTCCGGCTGCAAGATTACAGTCCCTTTCCTGGGGAGTACAGAGCAAGTAGGCAGACATGACTTGCATATCCAAAGACAACAGAAATGGAAGAATATGCACAAGAAAGCCATGCTCACCCCACTGGGTAGGTGAGGCAGTCATCAATCAAGGGAATCTTCACTGAAGCAGAAGTTTCAAGCTGGGCTTTAAGAAAGAGAGGGGCATGGCTCAGTAGGCAAAGGCTTAAGGCAATGTTTTATTCCCATAATCAACAATCTACATGAGGACATTTTTCACACTGGTAAATACACTTTAAATGTCTCAAGAACTTTATGGCTCACCTCCATAAAGTGGAGAACTATCAGTTCCTTAGAGGCAGGGAATGGTATCCTGATTTTACATTCCTTTTAGCACATATCTCAAAGAATTAGCACATACCTCTGAGCATTTACTGACAAGATTAAAAAATAGCTAGACACTTAAATTCCAGGCTAGTTCCACAGCCTCAGGGCCACTCAACAAGTACAGTTACAGGAACGATCTAAAGTTCCAGTAGGGTCTGTGGAATCCGTCACAGGATGGAACCGGATCTCCCAGGAACAAAGTAAACAAAAGCCAGGTTTCATTTTGTCCCAAGCCAGAGTGAGACTAAGAAAGAGTCTGAACTAACCTAGGCCTTACTGGTTTAAACCTGATGAGTTGAGACTCTGGAAGGATAAGAATGTCTGGCAAACCTTTTGCAGCCACCCATACCTTCTAGTAATAACAAAGTGGCCTCTCCTTGAAATTCTATACACAGCAGAGATGTGGTCGGCACTCATAGAGGTAATGAAGTTGGGAATTAGAGTTCTGGCTCTTCAACTACCAAAGTTACATTTCACACAACTGGTTAGTAAGGAATATTGTTAGCTTTTTTATCCAATCATTTGCAAATTAATAAGGCAAGTAATACACCAACATAATATTTTACTGTACAAGATGACAATCTTCAGAAGAATTTGTACATGTATCATGTGGAACATTTTTATTCCTAATTTATGTTTTGCAAGATATTTGACAATATACAAAGAATACCCAGTTCTAGGTGGTGATTGTTTTGTACTGTGATTTATTTACAAAATTTCACCACATAATAATAACTACTTTTTTTAAAAAAATGGCATTGGTCCTATAAATGCCATTAGGATAAATTCTTAAGCCTACACAAGTCACCTGAGTACCACTGTCCCCAGGCATATTATTGTTAACTAAAATCTGACTCCAAAGCGCACGTGTAGTTTCTAGTTCTGATTACACACAGTCATTTTGAAGCACAATCTAATTAGATTGACAGGGGACAGTGGAGGACCCAAGCAGTCCTATCAACCTCTATAAGAGGTGTACGTTAGCCTACGGGTTATATCCTTCTATCTGTACCACCATTTATTTATAATGGGACCATTAGGCTGTCCCATTATGCTAAAACATAGTTCCTTTGGAAAAAACAAGGCATTCTCTAGACCAACTAGACTGGCCAGCATGGTGAGTAAAAAGTGGCTGTTAGTAATGGAAAACAGTTTCATTTCTTTGAACTTTTTCCTTTTCCTTTTCTGGACTCCTTATCTCTTTCTGATTTTGAAGGCTTTGAAGATTTTGGCTTTTTCTGTTGGGAAAGAAAGATGTACAAAATAGTTAATAGCTGTGTTATGAATAAATGAAATAAGTTCATCTCTATAACAAATCTTTACCTGCAACTTAATTAATAAAGAAGAAACACTGCAAACATCTAGATCTTGAACTACTGCCATCCCTGATGAGCTTACTTTTAAGCAAAAACTGGGCTTGTTGTAGCCTTTAAAAGATAGCAGTAAAAACTGAGAAGCTATTCAGAATCTAGAACTAACATATATTCCCCATGTATGCAGTTTCTTGGATTTAGAACAGAGGTATATTTAGTAAAGACAAAATAAGCAAGAGATAATTTACAAATAGGGTAATGTTTTCATGAAGAATTTCCTTTTCTTTCAGTTTCAGATTAGAAATCTAAACACGTTCAGTTTGAGAAGGGGAGAGGGAGACAACCTCTTACGTCTACACAAGACTAGAGAGAGCTACACTGGAGAAGGCCACTATTCCTAGCCCTGCACATACAAAACAGATATTAGGGGCAAGAATGACACACACATACACACACACACACACACACACACTAACAACACGTGACAGAGGAGGATACAGACTAAGTCCTTTGCGTCGGCAAATGGTAAACAGTGGGCTGATACCGTAAAGGATTTTAACCTTTCCTAGCAAGACAAGGATGTTTTGCTTCTGAAAAACATCTATAGGCCATTCAATGGCTATAGCAAAACACAAATAACAAAAGGGAGAAATGGTTCCATTGAAAATGCTTTTCTCATACAACCTTCCAAAACTGAATCAAGAGGAAATAAAGAATTTGAATACACCAATCGCTAGTAAGGAGATTAAAACAGTAATCAAAAACCTCCCAAAAAACAGTCCAGGGCCAGATGGCTTCACTGGTGAGTTCTACCAAACATTTGAAGAAGAATTAATACCAATCCTTCTTAAACTCTCCCAAAAAACAGAAGAGGCGGAAACACTTCCAAACTCATTTTATGAGGCCAGCATTACTCTGATACCAAAACCAGACAAGAACACTACAAGAAAGAAAATTACAGGCCAATATCACCGATGAACATCAGTGCAAAAATCCTCAAGAAAATACTAGCAAATCGAATACAATACATTAAAAAGATCATACACAATGATCAAGTGGGATTTATTCCAGGAATGCAGGGATGGTTCAACATCTACAAATCAATCAATGTGATACACCACATCAACAAAATGACGAATAAAAATCAAATGATCATCTCAATAGATGCACAGAAAGCATTCGATAAGATATAGCATCCATTTATGATAAAAACTGAATAAAATAGGTATAGAAGGAAAGTACTTCAACATAATAAAAGCCATATATCACAAACCCACAGCTAATATCATACTCAATGGTGAAAAACTGAAAACTATCCCTTTAAGAACAGGAACCAGACAAGGATGCCCACTTTCGCCACTCTCATTTAAAATAGTATTGGAAGCCCTAGCCAGAGCCACCAGGCAAGAAAAAGAAATAAAAGGGATCCAAACTGGAAAGGAAGAAGTAAAACTGTCACTCTGTGCAGATGACATGATTTTATATATAGAAAACCCTAAAGAATCTACCAAAAAACTATTAGAATAAATGAATACAGTCAAGTTGCAAGATACAAAATCAACATAGAAAAATCAGTTGCATTTCCATACACTAACAACAAAATAACAGAAAGAGAAATTATGAATACAATCCCATTTATAATTGCAACAAAAAGAATAAAATACCTAGGAATAAATTTAACCAAAGAGGTGAAAAGACTTGTACACTGAAAACTATAAAACACAGTTGAAAGAAGTCAAAGAATAAACAAAGAAATGGAAAGATATTCCATGCTCATGCATTGGAAGAATTAACATAGTTAAAACGTC